GGCAGACCGATCTCCAGTGGTCTCCTTTGCATCCAAGGCATGGCCCATGGGGCCTCTTAGGGCAGTTCCTCTTGAGGTGGCCAAGACAGGCAGCTTTTGAAATGAAATTCCATGCTGGCCCTCATCACCACGCAGGCTTCCCTTGTGATTAAATCACATCTGAGATCAGATGGGCTTCATACTCCAGGCTTTCAAGCACTGCATCCTTCCTGTGTTTTTCTCTGTTTCTTCAGTATACACAGTACCCTCCTAGGCCAGAGAAGAGCTAGGCACATTCTCTCCTAGCCAGGCCCCACCTTCTCCCGGGAACCTTCTCTAGTATATTAGACTTTTTTCTGTTCCTGTAGCAAATATCTGAGTCTAGGTGCTTTGTAAAGAAGAGAGGTTGCTTTAACTCATGGTTCTGGAGATTCAAGAGCATGGGGCCAGCATTGCTCAGCCCTGGTGAGGTCTCCATGGTAGGAATTCAGGTGAGAGGTAGAGACTGTGTGGTGGGACAAAAAACAAGTGAGGTTCAGGGGCCAGCATCAGTCTTTCTTTTTTATTTTATTTTATTTTATTTTATTTTATTTTATTTTTGGTCTTTCTGAGACAGGGTCTCACTATGCAGTTCAGGCTGGCCTTGAGCTCACTTTGTAGCCCAGGCTGGTCTTGAACTCCCAACGATCCTCTTGCCTCAGCCTCCCAAGTGCTAGGATTACAGGCATGCACCACCATGCCAGGCTTCTTTTTTATTTTATTTTATTTTATTTTTAAATTTTTTTTTCTTTTTTCTTTTAAAGAGGAAAAAAACCCCAGAGTTTCAAAACAGGCTAATAAGAGGGTAACAATAACTAATACATTGCATACTGTTATCTCAGAGTGCAAGTTACAAGCATGAAATATTGTCTAAACAATATTAGCACAAACCTTTCTCTGTTGTGTATATATACATATTTTTTCCTTTTTTCTTCACTCCTTTCTCCCATCACAGTTTCTCTTTCCTTTTGAGCAGTTTCTTCCCACTTCACAATATTTATTGTATATTTTGGATCTTATTTGCTAGTTCAGTTTCTTATACTAGTGAGACAATATGATGTTTACACATGTGGATATAATGTATCTCACTTATGAGCATGGTCTCAAATTTCATCCATTTACCTATAAAAGTCTAAAGTTCATCCTTCTTTATGGCTGAGTAGTACTCCATTATATATAAAAAACTTTTTTTATCCATTCCTCAATTGATGGGCATTTGGGTTGTTTCCAAGATCTAGCTATTACAAATTGTGCTGATATAAACATGGGTGTACACATATTGCTGTGGTATGATGTTTTCAATTGTTCTGGGAAGACACCCAGAAGGGGAATAGCTGGGTCAAATGGGACCTCTAGTCCTAGTTTTTAAAGAAATCTCCACACAGATTTCCACAGTGGTTGTACCAGTCTACACTCCCACCAATGGTGGGACCAACACTCCCTGCCAACATTCGTTACCGGTTGATTTCTTGATGATAGCCATTCTTTCTAGAGTAAGATGGAACCTCAGGGTTGTTTTAATTTTCATCTCTTGAATGACCAATGATGTTGAACATTTTTTCATGTATTTATTTGTCATTTGTATTTCTTCATCTGAGAAGTGTATATTCTTCTCTGATGCCCATTTTTGGGTTAGGTCTTTGAATTTTGGGGGCCTGATATCTTGAGTTCATCATATGTTCTAGATATAAGCCCTGTGTCTGAGGAGCAACTGGCTATAATTTTTCCCACTCCTTGGGTTTTCTTTTCACTCTGTTGGTGATTTCTTTTGCTGTGCAAAGCTTTTTAATAAGGTGCAATCCCATTTGTTGATTATTTGTAGTATTTCCTGTGCAGTCTGAGTTTTGTTCATGAAGTCTCTGCCTACACCCATGTCTTCATGATTTCTGTTTATTTTTTCTTCCAGTAGATTTAGTGTTTCTGTTTTAATATTTAGATCTTTGACCCATTTCCAGCATCAGTCTTTCATTGCAACCACTCTCACAGTAACTGACCTGGTCCTGACAGAAGGACACCAGTTTCTTCTTGAGAGTGATGCCCCTGTGACCCAGTTGCTTTGCAACCGGCTCACCCCTTAAAGGCTTTACCACCTCTCACCACCATGCTGTGGACCAAGCTTCTAGCACATGAACTTTTGAGGAAGACACTCAAGCCATATTCTCAGTCCCTCTAACTCATCTTCTGTCTCCACTATTGCTCACCAGGTTCCAGCTATACTCCTTTCTTGCTCCCTAAGCTTGCTAGATATGCTGACTTCAGGGATTTAGCACATGCTGTTCCCTCTGCTGGAATGTTCTCTTGTGGCCCCTTCCTCATCTCTACAGGCTTTGCTCAGGTGCTGTCCAACTTCCCTGACTCCCTCCCTTTGCTCTTACTCTGTTTCTTACTCTCTCTGACATTTACCTCCCCTGACATATTATATAGTTTTTTATCTGTGTATTTTCTCTTTTCTGTGCTAGAATGAGTTCCAGGGGTGGCAGGGTTAGTAGAATTGAATTTTAAATAGAGCATCTCATGGGAAACTTCAGAAAAGATAGGTACCTTATGATGAAATGGACAAAGTTCTCTACAGTCTTTTGCCAGCCAAAGCACTGGTGAATTTCATGTCTGTTTCTTGTAGTTTTGAAAAATATCCAGGATGTGAACAGAAATTTGGATGTGACTAACATGGAACCTAGTGAAGGCAATTTTGTTTTTGTTTTCTGTTTTTTTGGTTTTTGTTTTGTTTTGTTTTGTTTTTTTCTGGTACCGGGAATTGAACTCACGACCTCGCACTTGCCAGGCAGGTGCTGTGGCGCTGAGCTAAATCCCCAGCCCCTTGAAGGCAATTTTGAAGCACAGAGTCTCACAGTTTCTCTACATACCTTTCTTAGGACTTAGTTCCAGCCAGAATTTAGGCTATTTGATAAGTGAAGGGATTTCTGTCTCATTCATGAGTGTCCATCCATCCAATTCCCCAGCAGGAGTGTTGAGGCTGCCTTCATTGGCAAGGGCACTATGCGCAGGCTCCATCAGCACTGTGGTGGAGGATAGATCTTTATACTCTGAAAACCAGACGAACAAGTGTCACGCAGGATGACGTGGACATGAGGTGGCAAGTTCTCTCACCCAGAGGAGAGTTAATGCCTTTCTGCCAGGAGATGGGCCTTAAAGGCAATTTTCCTCTTAATTAGTAGAATCCTTGACTTGCTGCACCCTCTGAGTAATTGGCGTCAGGAATGACTGAGAGCAGTGTGCACTTTTGTGTGGATCTGCAGGGCAAGTAGAACGGGTATTAGATGTAATTATGAACTGATTCTGATTAGCTCCAGGAAACTGGCCTCTGCCCGCCACCTTTGGAGGCTTTGATCAGGGAGCACTATTCAGGGCAGTGCCATCTTCAGCAGGTACATTCAGATCCCAGGCAGCAGCCTGGCCAGGTCACAGACTGGGTAGGATGCTTCCCAGGGGGAAGTGGGGCTGGGAGGAAAATGTGGATGGGAAAAGTTGTTTCTTTGCACTATTACTTGTTTTTTGAGCTGTATTTTCCTTAGATTTGTGGACCCAGTACCTGAATGTTCTCCTGGTGATGGACAATGAACGAATAAGCTCCGAGAACCACAATCTAATATTGGAAGGAGATGGGGCTGTGAACTCAGGCGGCCTGTGGGCTAGGCTTGATTCTGCCCCTCAAGGGATAAGTGACTACATGTGAGTCACTTTGCTCCTCTGGATCACTCAGCTTTTTTGTAGACTATGAACTGACTTCCTATTCTGAAGTTCAGGAAATCTCTAGAGAGGGGTCCCTAACCTATGTTTAGGACTAGTTGGTGAACTTGAGATTTTGTGCAATATTTTTTTAACAGAGGTATAAAAAGCAGTGGTGGTGAACCTACGGCATGCATATTATTGTGCTTTTCATTTAAGACAAAAGATGTTAATGAGTGAGTTGTGTTTTCCTAAATGAAAACCTCAGTATTCTGGTTTAATTGCAGCCTTGGCACTTTGGAATAAATAAATAGATTTTGAGTGCAGTTTGGGCACTCAGTCTCTAAAAGTTTCACCATCACTGAAGTAAAGCACAGAGATGTTAAGGGACTTTCCCACGGCAGCTGAGCAGTAGACTTAGGACTGAGTCTACCCGGGCTACAGTCTAACTCCTGAACCTATGTTCTTTTTTTTTGTCTTTTTGAGACAGTGTCTCACTAAGTAGTTCAGGCTAGTCTTGAACTCACTTTATAGCTCAGGCTGGCCTTAAACTCACAATGATCCTCCTGCCTCAGCCTCCTGAGTGCTGGGATTACAGGAGGGTGCCAGGATACCCTGCTGAACCCATGTTCTTAATCACTACTCCAGTCTCCCTTTATTCCTAATGTCCTTGCTTCTTAGATACTTGTCCTCTGGCACTTTGAAGAAGAACTATGAAGTTCTTCTATATTGTGGCATGTGGCTTTAATTCTTTTAGTTTTATTGCTGTATAATAATCCTTGGCACAATTATAGTGGAACTTATTGTTGTCCATTTTCAGTGGGTGGACCATTAGCTTCTCTTTATTTGGGGCTGCTATAAATCGTGCTGCTGTGAATGTCTTCGAACATGTCTCTTGGTCCATCTCTTTGGGTTAATACCTGGGGCAGAATTACTTAGTCATGGAGTTTGCTTATGTTCAGCTATAGTAGATATCACCCTCCAATTCTCTAAAGTGATTGTTATATCAATTTATCTTCCTGTTTGGGAGGAATTGTGAATGAGAGTTCTAGTTGCTCTTCATCTGTGCACACACTTTATATTATCATTTTGTAACTTCAGACATTTAGTAGGTATGAGTGGTCCTCCCCCTGGCTTAATCTGCATTTATCTGATAGCTAATGGGATTGGGTACATTTTCACTAGCTTTTTCATATACCTTTAATGTCTTTTAGTTTTTTACAAAAGAGATTAGGTTATATTTTATTCTTCAACTTATAGGCATTCTCTATATATTCTGGATTCTACTTCTATTTTTTTAAATTCTTCACAATAGCCCTGTGAGTTAAATGGCATTTTACACAGGCAGATACTGCAGTCAGAGAAGTTAAGTAACTTCAAGGATACTTGAACATTAGAGGATTAAAACTCTTCCTTCTTTCTAGTGGTTTATAATCTGCTTAGTTGGGGAAATAACATTCGGAGAACAATTAGCACATGGAGAGCAATTAGTAATATAAGCTAGTAAGAATTAATTTGGGTGGTGCAGACCATGAATAATAGCATAGTTAAATGATCAGAGTGAACTTCTTAGAGGAGGTAGGATTTACTCGAGGACTTTAAGGACAGTTATTAGTTGAGAAAGTAGAGAGGAAGTGGAAAAACATTTCAGAGAGGGTGAGTCACAAAAGCAGAGTTATGGAGAGGGAAGTAATAATACTACTAACCTCTGAGTAGCTTTGCATGGCTTTCCAGTTGGCTTATGCAGGACTACATCCCTTATGAAGGTGGGGACCATAACCGTTCCATTCACTGGGAATGTCCAGCGTCCACCATAGGTCCTGGCCCATAGCCATCGCTTAACGAATATATGTAAGTGAAGTGAAATAATTGATTCAATCCCAAAATTGTTTCTTGTCTCTTGCTTATTTAAGACAACTTCTTTTTATTTTCAGGTAGGAATATTCACTTAGATTTGAAGGTTGAATAAAAGTTGCTGAAAATGTCTCAGAGAGAAGGTATATAGTTAGAGTTTATATTCTGGAAGAGATACAAATTGCAGTGGAAGGATACTGAGCCTCCAGGGTAGAATGAAAAGGGACAGTGGGTATTGGTCTGCTAAGATAACTGTTTCTGGCTCATTACTAAGCTCCGAGAGCGCCGTTTTTTAATTAGTCTTTTCCTAAACCCCAAATAACTAGCTTATTTTTGGTTTTGATCAATGTCTTCAAGACACATCTTCATCAGAATAAAGAAAACAAATCAACAAAAGACATTGACTATCAGGTTATTATTAATTTTAATTCAGTAACCCTAGGAAACCACATGAGCAAGTGCTTAGTAGACTCATTGGATGACTGGTTACTTATGGAAGCTTCTTATGGAATTGTGCATACTTAAGAATTTTTATTTCAGCCATGGGAGCCACCACTCAAATTATTCTGATAGGTTATTTGAGTCAGAAGCTGGGTTCTGTCAGGAGTGGCATTTATAAAAGTCTGTGGAATGAATAAATGGATGGGTGAATAGCAGGCATAGATTCAGCTGTACTTGATCAAACAATTTGTGAATTTACATTAACCAGGTGCAAGAAAATCATAATTACCTTATGTTATGGTCATATCTGAAATTATTTTTTATTTTATCAAACAATAAAACAAAAATTCACAGCAAAATAGTAAGAGAATAACAATAGTTAATAGACCGTGTATCATTATCGTTGAACTAGTTACTCAGACTGCAAGACATTGGCAAAAAAGATTCTCACTTACAAGGAAGAAACAGGTATTAGCACAAAATTTTCTTTGCAGTGATCTAAAAGAAACTAGTACTATGGATGAAACAAATTAGCATATTTATGAAGATATTTCTAAAACAATGGAATAGGTAATTTAGAAACTCAAAGTATATAGATGAAGTTATTTTAAGGAATAAAATTCTAGGATATGCTTGAAATCTTTCTAGCAAATGTCAAGAAGCTAATTAGCATTTTATGATTAAGATAATATTGCAAAGTCTCATTACATCTACTGCTACATTTTAAAAGGCCAGTGAATTAGTTGAAGAAATTGGTACCTGGTAAAGATGTGGGAAGAATTATTCTAATTGTAGTGATAGGTGAATGATTTCACAGGAAAGTTCATTTTGGCATTTGAGAGCAGCCCCGATTGTTTCCAGGGCTTGGGCAGCTGATATTTGCTGTGGATCAGCAGGGTCCTCTTCATCAAGTGGAAACTCCCTGGTATACTGCTTGGCTCTGGCTGAAACAGTTACAGGTCCTACTGGGGCCAGATGCCCTTGACTGGGCATGATGCCTGGACCGTCTGACCTTGTTTTATGCTTGTTTGCCGCTGTATCATCTCCTCCCTCCTCCTTCCTTCCTTTGTTTTTTTTTCTTTTTGTGGTACCAAGGATGGAAACCAGGGTTTTGCATATGCTAGGCAAACATTTTTACTGCTGAGCTACACCCCACCCCTTTAAATTTTTTTACTTTGATGCAGGATCTCCTAAGTTGCTCAGGCTGGACTTGAACTTGCAACCCTTTTGCCTTAGCCTCCTGAGTTGCTGGGGTTACAGGCATGAGCCACCACCCCTGGCCTGCTGTATCTTCTCTTGCAGGCTCTGATATAGTGCACTGGATTGGATCACATCCCTCTGCGCAGAACAGGGCTTCTGGTCTGTCTGCATCCTTTCTTCAAGGCCTGGCAGAGGAATTGAAGAATCATAATTTTTCAAAATCATACTCTGACTTCGTTGGTCATCACTTTGTCCTGCTGGCTTGAAGAGACTTACATTCTTTTCTTCCAATGTTGCTGGTTCCTCTGCCTCAAGGTGTGTCTTGTGGAAGGGTGACTTGTCCTCTCCTGGACTTTTAAAGAGAATTTCCTGGATCTTTGGTGCTCTATCCTCTTCTTCGCCTTTGGTCGTTGGGCCCTGGGTCTTCAGCTGTTTTCTGCTGCCTCCCTTTTTGGGGAGCTGTGTTACAGTGAAGTTGGTATCCAGGCCTCCTGGGACTTCTGACTGCAGGGATTTTCGATTTTTGCCTTTTGTTGTGGACTTCTGTAACTCTAGGGGTCCACTGGGCTCCACAGCTGCATCCGGACTTTTGGTTCCTGTGCTGTGACTCTTGAGCTGTACTCTGGAGGGCTGTTCCTGTCCCTCTAGGAGGCGTACGCCTTCTTCCCTCACTAACACCACCGCTGCTTCCTGTGCCCTGTTCTCACCTGGCGCTCCGTGCTTCCAGAGATCTGGGCCATTAAGGTGACTTCCTTGCACAGACCCTTTGTGTGGGTGTGCCTGACTCTTGGAATCCCCTTGCACACGTAGTTTACTTGTCTCTGAGCTTCTGTCACCGTCCTCTGGAACCAGACTCTTGCGAGTTTCACAAGATCCCTTGCTATTCAGTGCAGTGGGGGCCTCAGGATCCTCCCCCTTGTAGCCGTCTTCCTCTCCAATTGCCTTGTCACAAGGCTTGGTGGCCCTGCTGTTTTCTCCTTCAGACTGCCGCTCAAGTGGAGCTGACTCTTGGGTTCTTTCTCTTGCTCCTGCTGTCCTTCTGGCAGCAGGGGTATTTTTGCTGTTCACAAATGCTGGTGCTGTACCCTCCTCAGTGTGTTTTACCTCTTCTGCTGGGGCTGATGTGCCTCCGGTTTTAGGGCAATTTTGATTTCTTTCTTCTGTGCTTAGATCTGGTGTCTCAGAATCTTTTTCTGCATCTTTTTGTTTGGATGATCTTTGGAGTTCCTGATCCTTTCTATCCTGTGTTTGGGCTTCCAGGACTGAAGGCTGAGTTTTCTTCTCACACTCTTTCTGCCATGCTGGTCCATGTGCCTCAAGGCCTCTACTTTCTTTCCTTTCAGCTCTAATATCAGGGGTTTCTGAAATATCTTTGTTATCACCTTGGGCTGGTAGGTCCTTTATTTCATGTTCTTTTTCCTGTGCTGGTGATTCTTGGGTATCAGATGTTTTACCATAATCCTCAGGTTCATCTCTATCCTTAGTCTCAGGTGATGTCCTATCAACATTCTTTCTTGGTTCTGGAGCCTCTGATATTCTGTCATCTTCAGGATTAGCTGATTTCTGTGTCTGAGATGGTTTCCTTGTAGCAGCTTCTAGTGGGTCAGCACACTCTGACCTGGGTTCATCTTCACCTTGCAGGGGTGGTTCTTGTGGTTTAGAGTGGCCTTTAATACTCTTTTCTGGTGCAGCTTCCTGATCTGGAGGCCTCTGCATTATTTCTTGTAGTTTTAAGTTTTCTTTCTGTTCTTCAAATCTGTCATTTGTCTTGCTACCACTTGGCCTCCTGACTGGTTTAGCTCCCTCTTTGGGGATTGGCTTTGCAGGACAGCTAGTCTGTTCTGATCCTGTTAATGGTTTATTTCTCTTAATTCTGGCTCTTTTGTCTTCTGTTGCTGGTACATCTTGAGCCACTTCTTGGCTCCGTTCAACTCCTTCCAGGTACTCAGATGCTTCTCTCGGCAGGTTATGAGTCTTGTCTTCCCTTGGGTTCACTTTATTGTTCCCAATGGCCTCACTTTCTTTGTGGCTGAGTTGGAATGATGATGCTATTCCAGAAGGAAGCAACACTTTTTCTTGAGTTGGCAGAGTTCCTGTCATTTGCTGATCATTTCTTGTGATTCCCTGAAGATGCACATTATTTGTCTTCCCCTTTTCTGACTTAGATTCCTTTCTTGGTTCTGAATTTAGTAATGATTGTATGTCAAGATAACAGAGGTTCAATAAGCTGAAGATTGCAAGAACAAATTCATCAAAATTGATGGTACCATCATTGTCAATATCCAGAAGATTCAGGTGTCTCTGCACAGCATGAATGACATGTGGCTGCATGAAAACACAGTGAACAATAGCTTATTCATATGTGGTCAAATGTCTTGCATGAATACCTATAAGAATTCTTTTATCCATTGGTGGTAGATATCAAACTCAGGGGCTTACTTATGCTAGGCAAGTACTCTACCTCTGAGTTACTTCCCCATCCTAAGAATCCCATTCCTCAAGAATGTATGAACTTCCTCAAATCAGTAAGAATTTATTGGCTCTTGGTGTCATTTCACCCGAGGGCAATGACTAAGGTGCATTTACACCACTTGTGAGCTGTAATTAGATGCATAGTGGTTTATGACTCCACTGAAAAGCCTACTTTGCTGAAGCAATAGTCCCAGTAATGAAAATTTCATTTGCTCGGGGGACTAAGTAACTGCATAGGTTAAGGAAATGATACTGAAATTTTTTTTCAAAAGTCAGCAAGTGCTGAGAACTGACAACCAAGTGTAAAATGGGCAAAGATCCCGATGCCTCTCTTTTGGGTTATGTGGAAGTGGTAAGTGGGGAAGAATTTCTAGAATTCTGTGAACACCTCACCTGAAGAAAGACCCCAATCTCGCCCTGAAGGAGCTGTTTCAACTCTCTGCAGGTCAGCGTCGCCTTGTCCTCATCCTCTCTGGCATACTTGTGGAATGCCTCAATTATGCAGAGGACAGCTCTCAGAAGCCCAGGCATCTTTACAAACTCAGGGGAGGCTGTGAGAAAGAAGAAAAATAGTTCATTTCCCAGCAGAGGTCCTGCAGGAAAGAGATACCAAGATTATCTTTTTTTTTCTGTTCCTACGCGAACTCCACTTGCATCAGCTGCTGTCTTAGAATACTGTATCTGAACTCCAGGAGTAATTTAGTTTTTCAGTGGACATTGTGGTAGATGAGCTGTATCACAGGTGTATATACTGCAGAAGAGACATTTCACCCTACCTTGCAGTAAACAGCAATATTCATGTGTTCAGACAACAGAAAAGTTTTCAGTAAATAGCAATATTCATGTGTTCAGACAACAGTTTATTGCAAGAAAAGTGTAAGTATTGCACTTACACTTGCACTGAAATGTAAGTATTGTGATGTACAGATGAAGCCAGGGAGGGGGCTGGGGATTTAGCTCAGAGGCACAGCGCCTGCCTGGCAAGCGCAAGGTAGTGAGTTCGATTCCTGGTACCAGAAAAAAAAACAAAAACAAAAACAAAACAAAACAAAAAAACCAATGAAGCCAGGGAGATCAGTCCTTCTGGAGTGCCCACCTGCTTACTTCCTATCTTGAATAGATCTAACCTCCTCTGCTAGGAAAAGAAGTGAACTCACTGGTAAAACAAAGTGCAGACTCCTCAGTCATTACCCATCATTTAAATGATTCTAGGATTTCTTTTTAATATAAATTTGAGTCTGTGTTTTATTAAATAATATTCATGTCTATGTCATCCAAACAGCTTATATTTTTTAGCAAAGAAAATGAAGAAATTCCATAAGAAAAGAATGCATTTTGGATGCCTGGATTCCCAGTTTAGTATTATGAACTGAGGCTGACTTAGAGTGTATTTTTTCTGAACCACTGTCACAACCTCATATTTAGGCAAAGCTGCAACTGAGATCCTGAGTATGCTCAAGCAGGTCATCTATGAGACTTACCTTATTCAGGAGCAAGAGCCAGCAGAATGTGTGGCAGCAGGCTGTGAGCCAGTGATAGATGCTGGAGCCTTTTATTGAGGTCCTAATTGCACACTTAAGAAGGAGACACCCTCTGGGTCTAATGACCTGATTCATCATCACCAACCCTATCTCCCCTCCTTGTTGGTTCCTGGCTTGTCTTATTTTTATTTCCTTTGTAAAGCAGCTCTCATCTTTAGCTTCTGACTCATTGAAAGGAGTGGTAAAGGAATTTCTTTTTACTTTTTTTAGGAATTTCTGTTTCATTTACTGGCTTTTGCACATTATAGTTTTGAGACATCTTCTGGGCTTCAGAGTGGTGGTTTTTTGTTTCCCTTTTTTTTTTTAACCTGAGGACACAATTACATTTCTATTTGGCAGGTCATAGGGCTGGTAGAGCCGCAGAGGTCATCTGATTCTGCCTGCAGGATGGCCTGGATTTGACCTAACCATGAGAGATGGGCGTCTAACATGTATTTAAAAATAAAGGCCCCAGTTAGTCATTGACAAAAGTGGAGATACCAGTTGATTCAGCTATTTTAATGTTGTTCTCCTTCCCCAGAGGCAGTTAGGGGAAAAATGTCTTGCTGGGTATGCAAAATCTTGCTTACTTACGATGTGCTACTTTAAAAATCTGCTTTTAAAAGGCATTTTTATAATGCAAGGAGCTTGAAATGAACATCCATATTGCTGTGTTCTCTCTATAATGGAGAAAGGGAGACATAAAAGCTGAGATGAGGACAGAAGTTGAATGTGAGATGCTGAATGGGAAAATGCTTTTGTTACCTCATAGATCTGAGTCTGTCTTAGTACAGCATTTTTGATAGGAGAATTAGATTCAGTGGTTTCCTTAGGTGTTTAACAGGACAGTAGAATATGTTTTAAAACACTTGTTCCTCTTTTTCAAAGGATGTAAGAAATATACAACCGATCATGGAAATGAGTGTAAAAGATAAAGACCAAATTGAAGAAGATAGAAAAGGTGGTGGTAATTAAATTAGAAAACTGAGGCTAAAGGATATATTGTTGAGCAGCCACCTTGTTCTGAGTTTCTAGATAATCAAAACAAGCACAAGATAACTGAAGAGGGGATCTGGGAGATCTACTCTGATAATTTACATCTATATACAGTTTCTCAGTATCTTCCTAAAAGGGGAGAAGACTTCTGCTGAGAATTGGGATTGGGAGCTGGGGATATAGTTCAGTGGCACAGAATCTGCCTGGCAAGCCCAAGTTCTGAGTTTGACTCCTAGTACCAAAAAAAAAATTGGGATTGACATAAGAGGGCCATCATCTTAATTCTGATTAGTTAACATCCCCCTCCCCCAGTACCAAAACTCTGCCAGTTGCTGGGGTATTGAGAGTTGAATAAATTATATATCTCTGCCTTGGAGCTCACAGGTCAGTCTTAAGAAGAAAATGCATATGTTTGGGCTGAACTGGAAAGAAAGACTTAGGGCAGAAATAAATAACTACATTTAAATATGAGAATGATTTTCATGGGTATGGAAGAGAAAGGAACTAATGTTCATCGAACACTCATGACATGTCAGGTGCTTTACATGGACAATCCTGGGCCCTTCTAGGTACTTGTTTTTCTCTGTTAACAGATAAGAAAGTTAAATCTCTTAGTTTAAGAGAGCAATTTGCCTATAGATGTTTACCTAGTAAATGGTAGAGCCAGGATTCAGAATTGAAATATCTCAGGAACCCATCTTTCAGCCCATCTCTTTCCATTAGCTTGAGTTCCTTATTCTGTGTAATGCCAGAGGATACAGCTAAAATTTAATGTTTAAGATTTTCTAGAAAGAAGACTATCTAATAAAGAACTTTCTGATGAGTAGTGTTGTCTGACCATATGTACTGTTCCTAAAGCAATGACATCTCTGTCACCAGAACTGTCCATGTAGAGGCTGGATCACTATTCATTGGCTGGGTTACAGGAGGAATTGTGCTGTGGGAAGAGATCAGACAGGGTCATAGTGAAAAGCACAGGACTCTCCCAACTTTAAATGTCGCTAGTATTTTGTTATAGACCCTATTTAAAAAGTCAGAGGTGGATCTTGCCCTATCTCTAAACAAAGTAAGGGCTGACTCCCAAGCTCATTTATAGGTCCTCCTACTTTTTCAGTGTTTACTTAAGATCATTTAATTAATGCCCATGTGCTGGGTGGGTAGTGACTCAGAGGGATGGCAGAAGATGGAAGAAGATTGCTGTCTATCTTGTGTTTTATCTAGATTGTATTTAAACTGTAGAAGAATAAGCCAGAAACAACTCTAGCAGTACCAAAGAGAAGACCCTGATTCCCCTTTCTTTTGCTTCTAGCAGATATTTGGAAAAATCCCTCTTTGATGTTACCTCCTCTCTAATATTATATGTGTATGATACAGAAACGAGTGGGAAAGGAAGCAAAGAAAAAGAAAGAGCACAATGAAAAGAGGTTGATTATAATAGAACTATCTTTAAGAGCCTATTACTTCTCACAGGTCACAACTAAAGTCTTAAATTGAGGGTTCTGATGAAACCCATATGATGGCTACTTTGTGAAAGAATGGCCAATAAATCATTTTTTTGGTTATTTTAAAAATATTTCAAATTCCTGAATTTTTTTTATTTGAAAGAGAAAAGAACAAAAACAAAATAATGAAAACAAAGACAAAAACAAAACAACATAAAACAGCAAAAATGACACAGAATTTTAAAACAAGATGATAGGAAATTAAGAATGGCTGTTGTGTTACATATTGTTATCTCAAAGCAGTTGCTCAGATTACTGGATATAGGGATGCAGGATTGATCAAACAATTAAACATTAACTGTTACTTTCAATAGACCAATAGAAATGAGTAGTACAGTTATTGTAGTTATCATATATATATATTTGCTTCCTTCTTTCTTTCTTTTTCTTTTCCTTCATCCCAGTTGTTCTTTCCTTTTGAGCAGTTTGTTTCCCTTTCACATTATCTATTGTACCTTTCAGATTTTATCTACTCTTTCAGGTTCTTACACTAGGGAGACAATATGATGTTCACACATGTGGGTCTGATTTATTTCACTTATGAGTATGGTCTCTAGCTGTATCCATTTACCTATAAAAACCTCAAGTTTATCTTTCTTGATAGCTGAGTAATACTCCATTGTATAAAACCACCACATCTTTTTTATCCACTCCTCAGTTGATGGGTATTTGGGTTATTTTCAAGATTATACTATGACAAGGGGCTGGGGATTTAGCTCAGCAGCAAAACACCTGCCTGGCAAGCGCAAGGTCGTGAGTTCAGTTCCCAGTACCGGAGAAAAACCAAAAAAAAAAAAAAAAAAAAAAAAAAAAAAAAATACTATGACAAATTGTGCTGTTATAAACATGGGTGCACATATATTGCTGCAGTCTGATAAAAACTGGCTTTCTATATGCTAAAGATGAAAACTAGACATGTCTATCACCATGCACTAAACTAAAGACATAATGGATCAAAGATTTAAATATTAAAATAGCAACAATAAATCTACTGGAAGAGAAAGTAGGTCAAAATCTTGAAGATGTAGGGGTAGGCACAGACTTCATCAACAAAACCGAAACTGCGTGGGAAACACTTTAAAGAATCAACAAATGGGATCTCATCCTATTAAAAAGCTTTTGTACATCAAAAGAAATCACTAATAGAGTGAAAAGACAACCCATAGAGTGGGGAAACATTTTAGCTAACTGTCCCTCAGACAAAGGACTTATATCTAGAACATATAAAGAACTGAAAAAAAAAGACCCCCCAAATTCAAAGAGCCATTCCAAAAATGGGTATTTGAGATGAATAGATACTTCTCAGATGAAGAAATAGAAGTGGCAAATAAATATATGAAAAAATGTTCAACATCATTAGTTGGGGCTGGGGATTTAGCTCAACAGTACAGCGCCTGCCTGGCAAGCACAAGGCCATGAGTTTGGTTCCTGGTACCAGAAGAAAACTCAAAAAGAAAAAAAAAATCATTAGTCATTTGAGAGATGAAAATTAAAACAACACTGAGATTGCATC